ATCAATACAACATGACAAAGACGATGTACATAAAAACAAGACTTATGCAAACAAATAACTGAAAGTTTTATAAGATCAGCGCTGATCTTATAAAACTTTCAGCTATATAGCGAGACTCTTCGCAGATGCGAATTGAGTCACTGTCGGTCACTGGGCGTGTTTCTAAAAATAAATACGCTAAAAATCCACTTTCATCCCTACCGTGCGCCGACGGCTTAATGGTTAGAATCACCAATTCAGTCGGGTTTCGATCCTAGCTAGAAGCAACCGGATGTCTAGCCACACTGATGAGCTGTGAAACAGCGAAACAGTCTGTCTGTGGATGACGTTATATATTTATATATATATATATATATATATATATATATATATATATATATATATATACACACACACACGGATATCTTTTATCTGACATTATTTCTTATCAATATAAACGTTAATTTTAGTGGGTACACGGTATGTAGCTGCTAATCCCGTTATTTATTTTCTTAAACACAAAAAAGTAATAGCATCTAACCTGAAAGGATTTCCCGATCTAGGCCGGTTGCTATTTAGTACAATATTTAAGAAGATTAAAAAGTCAGGGATAACATAACAACTCAAACACATAAAAAATAACGTTTATCATAATATATATATATATATATGTGTGTGTGTGTGTATGTGTGTGTGTGTGTGTGTGTGTGTGTGTGGTGTATTTAGTAGCAAGAATTGTTTTAAGTAATTTTGTTTTAAAATCACGTCAAAATTAAGTGAGGCCGTTGTAAATTTTGTCAAGTTTAAGTGACGTGAAATTGATTCCATCAAGCGTCAAAAAGCCGAAATTAGCCAAACACAGTTTCATAAACATAAAAAGAAACGCAATACTTGGTGAACGATTGTAGAGGCAGTACAAAGTATGCGGATTCCAAAAACAAAATGAACTTTTAACAATTTTATGAAACACATTAGTCGGACATTATTTGGACTATTGTCCTCATCTTTGTTGCTATATTTATCACAACGTTTCGGCCTTCTTGGTTGGAATTTCGAACCCTTTATTTCGCTCACTAGGATAGATTGTTCTAGTTCCACGTGCCATGTTTGATGGATGTTAGTTATGAGTTATCTCCTGCTAATTTCCCTGTAAAAGTTCTCCACTGCCTTAACGAGGTATTGAACTCACACTCTTTGGGTCCTGTCACTAACCAACGCCTTTATCCAATGTGCCATGAGTCCTTGAGGATATCTGGGTATGAATTTCTGGGTATTATAAACCTAATTTCTTCAGCAACCATTTTTACCAGTACTCATATTGCAATTTTGCTGTTATCATTACATGTTTTTACCAGAGCTCATATTGCAACTTTGTTGTTATCATTGCTTTTCTCTGGCACTCCTTATTACTGGTTCCCATATTGTATTTATTTCTATGCTTGGTCGGCTCAGGAGATTTTTGTGGCCTAGCATATGTCCTGATTCCTTAAGTTTACGAATTTTGCAATGGTGTTCCTTGTCTATGATCTCAACATGATCTAACAGAGGCACGTGGAAATAGAACAGTCTACCCCAGTGAGCGAAATAAAGGGTTCAGTTCGAAATTCCAACCACCTGAAGAAAGCCGGAGCGTACAACGGCCGAAACATTGTGATAAACAATAACACTGATAACTAACATCCATCAAACATGGCACGTGGAACTAGAACAGTCTACCCTAGTAAGCGAAATAAAGGGTTCATTTCGAAATTCCAACCAAGAAGGCCGGAGCGTACAACGGCCGAAACGTTGTGATAAATATGGCGACAAAGATGAGGACAATAGTCCGAATAATGTAGATAATGTACATAATACCTCATCTCAGAAATATAGACAGACAGTAGTCGGACGTTGTAAAAACTTGTCAGTATTATTCAACAAAATTTGTTTAATATATTGAAATAATTTAATGTATTTTAATATACATTATATATTAAATTATATATATATATATATATATATATATATATATATATATATATATATATATATATATATATAGTGGATTCTTTTCTTTTCATCCATATGTACCACAGATGAAGTCATGAAATCTGAAAATCGTTTCCAGTCAGTTTGGGTCCATCTTAAACAAATTCACGCCATCGGCACTTTTTTCTTCTCTGATTTTCTTTAACCTCCAACTAATTCTTGAAAAGCCAAACGGGAATGGAATCAAGCAGCAAAGAAGAAATAATTTTTTGGGATACGAGATAAAGCCGACGATATTGTGGGAAAACGAAATGAAATAAAAAGAATAAAAAATAAATTAATTCATTTTTCATTGATGCAAGTTGTTAAGAAATCGGAAAAGGTTTCTGATCACATGTGCGATTTTATGATAACACTTCTGAAAAAAGAAAAGAATCGGTCTCTTTCAAAGGACATCTTTCGAGCGTGTTTTACCAGCCTTACTCATGAGGTAGAGGTTCGGTCACTCCAACTCAGCGCGAGGCTGACTTGAGATCGACCATCTTTACCTGTTCATACCCTGAATAAATTCTGAACCAAATATGAAAAAGGACATACTCAAGAGGCATTTAACCTTTGCATCGATACAGTCAGCGTAAAAGGAATAAACGTCTGTAGCAGAAACTCAAGATTTTGTATGCTTTTCTGTCTTCTTTGTTTACATATTGAACACATACCTTCACCAGAAACATACACACAAAACCAGCTAGCTTGTTAACATACGCAATCTCTCTCTCTCTCTCTCTCTCTCTCTCTCTATATATATATATATATATATATATAATTTTTACATACGGAGAAAAGCAAATTACTCACTACAAAGATGCATTCTTGTTTCGATGCAGCTGCATCTCGACTGGTGTCAATCCTTGGTATTGACCCGTTTTTTTAAATTAATGGTGTGAACGTTTAAATTTATTTTTTCGTTCTCATTACATTCGATATACATATATATATATATATATATATATATATATATATATATATATATATATATATATATATATTTTTGTATGTGAATAGGTTTTGTGATGGCAAGGAATACTCGTTGCCACATTTGCAAGCCAATGAATACTCGTTGTCACTTTCATAGTGCTCGCTGTAATAGAGATTTTGTAATCGCAGATACAACTATAGTAACGCCGTTGAACAATGCTGGTGTCAGACGCCTTCAAATAGTACGCGAACTAATTGTATTTGCCCGATAATACTTGGTCGAATAGTAATCCGTATAATGATCCGAATAGAGAAATAGTATAGTGAATAATATAGAGGATAGCGATTTGTATAGCAACAGAGGATAGAGTAGAAAGATTTATCTGTATAGTAATAAAGGATAGAATAGAAAAAGTGGTTAATTAAATGCCTCGCTAATTCCCACTGATGTGTTTTCTTTACGGTCAAATGATTTTTTTAATTCAAAATGGGATCGCCTGTGTTTGCTCTCCTGGCGATCTATGTTCGAACTACAGTGTTGGCAGCGACATTTTATTCGTATATATCTGTTATGGTAATGTACCAACGTACACATGAACTCTCCCAGCTATAAATAGGAGCAGGTACTGCCTTTTGGAGAGGGACGTTTCCAGCAGTCAACTCTGACAGTCGGACCGAACATTCTTGCTGTAACTCTCTCGTTTGTATATATTTATATTACTGTTTCTGTTAATATATTTATTTAACTCAATTCCTCTCTTGTGTCTTTATTTCTGGCCCTAACAAGGCCACAACAATAACAATAGGCATGAAGCTAAATGATGATAGCTTAATATTGCTACTTGTCAAAGCATTTAGATACGTGGTCAATATTAACCACATAGTATGAAAAATGTACATTGAAAATTTCAAATAAGAATCCAACGAATAAATCCGTGATAGACGCGGCCACAATATTCACAACATAAGCTATGCAGAAGACACAGTGATGATAGCAGACGCAGAAAGAAAGGTAGTGAGGAAAGGCAAGAAGAAAGGATTAAACATCAGCTGCAAGATAACAGATTACATGGTTGTTAGCAAAAGAATGAGGCCCAAGTGCGTATTTCAAAATAAAATAAACAAAATAAACAAGTGTGGAAACTTAAATGTCTGGGATGTTTTTTAAAAGATGGCGGAAAACTGTGACACTGAAATCCGAAGACGTATTGAGATAGCTAACGAAGCATTTCAAAAACAAAGCAGCGTAGTAAAAAACGGAACATCTATCGTTAGAAGCAAGGAAACTAGTACTAAATTTCCACGTAATATCTGTCCTTCTGTACGACACAGTGCGCTGGACGATCTTCTAAAAAATGACAAGGAAATGTGAAGCCACAGAAATGTGTTTCTACAGAAGTATGATGAGGATACCATGGACCGAACATGGGAACAACGACGAACCTTCAGAGAAAATGGAAACAAAATTAATACTTAACATAAGAGAAAAGACAGTTGAGGTTTCTGGGGCGTATAATGAGAAAGGAATGCCTTGAAAATCTGATAATCGCGTGACAGAGAGAGAAAGAGTGTAAGGGGGGCAGAGGAAAACAACTGATGACATATTTAGTGAGCTTGACTAAATAGATGACAAAACAGGCTTTAGAGAGCTGCAAGGAATAGGGACTTGTGGAGAGCCACTATCGCCTACGTCATGGGGGATACGCTACATAAAGAAGAAGCAATGAATGAACGCTGGGCTTGGCTTTCTACTGACGAGCCATCTTTTTCACATGAGATCTAAATCATGCTAACAATCAAAACATTCAAAGTTTTCGCAAGTACATTTATTAATTTCTATCTATATTTTTTTACTCCATTTTTAATATTTTTTCATTTCATCATTATAAGAAAACGTATTTTAAACTCGTTATATCTTAAGAGATCACATGCTTTAGCGCACATTGTGTAAAGGTGACCCCTTTAATGTCCATCGGCTGGACATAATTTGAGACATATTTTAATACCACAGAAGCATTAATTTTGATGATTTCATTTTATTGATAATATGCGTGGAACAAACTAAAATACAATATGGCTTACGGTCATATCACGTTGAAACATCGATTCCCATACGATCACCAAAGTTAAGCAACCGTGAGTCTGGTTAGTACCTTGATAGGTAACTGCTTGAGAATACCATGTGTTGTGAGTTTGGATATGCGAGGTGTGTAATGGATAATGGCTTGGAAAGCCGAGTTCCTATTTCGTTTCGGTTCGTTATATTCACTTACGTACTAATAGCCTTGGAAAATGTTGGAACCAAACACTTCTTCATTTATGTGCCGCGTTTCTTCAGGACGTAGGCGATCATGGCCCTCCACATCTTCCTGTTTTTTGTTGCCTTTAATAAGTTTTGCTTTGTTATTTCTCCAAAACCCTGATATACCATCCATTTACTCAGGCTCTAAGAATGTTATGCACTACTTTCCTCTGTCCGTGTTTCACCCAATTTGTCCTGTGAGTATTACATTTTCCAAGCCCTCCTACCTCATTACGTGTCTCAGAAATTTCAAATGCCTCTTTCTGATGTTAATTATAAGTTTTCTTTTTGTATCCATTTTCGCTAAAACCTCGTCGTTGCTCATATGTTCGGTCCATGATACTCTCGGCATCTTTCTATAGAACGACATTTCTCTCGCTTCAAGTTTCTCCATCCATAAAAAAATACAATATATTTTTCCATATCGCGTTAAAATTGCATTTATAGCTTATTAATATATACTGACTCTCGTCAAAATTTTGCAACTTTGTCCTGACACTAAATGTTTAATTAATAAAACTGTACACTATTTTAGAAACTGGAAAACCAATATTTGGTCTGCAATTATCTACTTAGATAAATTCAATTAGGGCACCAAACTCTTTTTTTAACTTACCAGAAAAGAGTGTTTTGCTTTTATTAGACGAATCTTGTTAGTCTTCGAGGCTAACATTACTTTTCGTTTTATCAATTTGAGAAGAATCACAGATTTTATTTTCATTTTTCTTATTCTTCTTTAGTTTTCTTTGTCTTTATCACTTTTGTCTTTCCTGCCCAAACCCTCATCCTCTGGGCCCACTTCGCCAAAAACCAAACTAACGTCATCATACAAAGAGGCAGAGGCAAGAAAGTGTGGAGGACGGCAGGAACGGTATGTACAACCGCCGACGCCTGATGTTTACGACCATTTCCAAAGTGACAAAGTTTGGCAAGCGACCATAAAGTAGAATTTTCTCGTCAAAGACTTCCCCAGAACCAACGCCCCTGTCACAACCATGACTTTTTTTTTCTTCATATTGTCTATTTCCCGTCTGCTTCCATCTCTTTCTATTTTATAATTATTTCTTTACTCTGCAAATATTCTTTCTTTCTCCAATTCTTTTTTTTTTTTTTTCTTTTCCTTGTCATGTTTATTCTTCCTTCCTTCCTGAGTCCCAATCATTCTTTTTCTCGGTTTATCATTGTCTCTCTTTTACATTTTATATAGTCTCATTTTTCTTACTTGCCCGAATATTTTCTCTCTTTTCTTCGGGTAATTCTTCTCTCTGTCTATTTCTCTGTCAATCTCTCGTTTTAAACAATTATTCTTTCTTTGTAAATTCGCTGACTCTGGTTTATGTCTATCTTTTTTTCTTTCTAAGATGATTTCCCTTTCGCGTTTATTCTTTTTACTCTTCTTTCTATTCAGTCTTCTTTCTTCCTACATGTCTGTCTGTCTGTCTGTCTGTCTGTCTGTCTGTCTCTCTCTCTCTCTCTCTCTCTCTCTCTCTCTGTCTTCTTTTTTTTACTTCTGGTACACTTTTTTTTCTTCTCAGTTTCTTGAAAGAGAGAAATGACTGAATGAAATAAAAAGGAAGATTGTTCTTTTTCTTCATTATATAATTTTTTCCATTCATCTCACTATCTCTTTCCTGTTTCTCTTACCCACTCCTTCATCTTAACAACACTCTTTTCTTCGCTCCTTTCTTTCTTGATGATTTTTCTTCTGCTTACACTCTCTCCCCTTATCATTCTTTCTAAAGCTCTTTTGCTTTGCCTGTCTCTTTCTTATTCGTCCTCGTACATTTTTTTATTTCCTCTTCCTAGACAAGTCACCATTTTTCTTTCCACTTTCTTTTTCCCTTCTTTCTTTCTTTCTTTCTTTATTTCTTTCTTTCTTTCTCAGCCATTTCCCTGACAGGTATGAGGACAAATGCCCGGGTCTGGCCTTAAAGGGCATAAATTCCTCGTGAACGATGAAAACGAAATGTCGCCGGCAAATACTTTCTATTTATCATGTGAGAAAGAGAAATGCGGCAGCAAAGCAGTGTGGGGTGCGCTGAGGGAAGAAGATGTGCGGAGGAGGAGTGGGATGAGGAGGTGTTGGAAGTAGAAGCAGGCGAAGGTATATTGCCGGCGTAGATGGGAGATCTGGGTCATGTGTTTAAGTGAAAGAGAAATAAAGAATGAAAAGTAAGTGAATACATGACTGAAAAATAATGAATAAGAACTGCTTGAATAAGAAATGAACGAATTAATAAATGAATGAAAGAAGAAATGAATGAAATAAAAAAGGAAGATTCAATAGACGAAATAAAGAAAGAAAGAAAGAAAAAGAAAAATATAACAATTTTATAAATTAACCAATGAATAAGGGAGAAAGAAAAGAAGAAAGAAAGAAAGAAAGAAAATGGAAAGCAAGAAATACAGAAAGAAAGAAAATGATTTTATAAATTGACGAAGGAATAAAGGAGATGAACTGAAAGAAAGAAAGAAAGAAAGAGGTAAAACAATGTCATAAATTAACGAATGAATAAAAGAAACAGGCTGAAAAAAGAAAAAGAATAGAAAGCAAGAAATAAGGAAGGAGAGAAAAGAATTTTATAAATTAACGAATGAAAAAGGGTGATGAACTGAAAGAAAGAAAAAAGAAAGAAAGAAAAAAGAAAAGAATAGAAAGAAAGAAATAGAGAAAGGGAGAAAACAATTTTATAAATTGACGAATGAATATAGAAGACAGGCTGAAACAAAGAAAGAAAGAAACAAAAGAAAGAAAGAAAGAAAGAAAGAAACAAACAAACAAACAAACAAAGAAAATAAGAAAATGGAAAGCAAAATGATTTTATAAATTGACGAAGGAATAAAAGAGGTGAAATAAAAGAAAAAGAAAGAAAGAAAGAAAATGAAAAGCAAGATCATTTTATAAAGTAACGAATGAATAAAAGTTACAGTCGGAAAGAAAAAAAGAAGCTGTTAAGTTATAAAATTAAGATTTGCTAGACAAAAACGAAATAGGAAGTGTGAAAGAAAAAATTTAACGAGAAAATTAAAAAAAAAAAGTGATTTGAAACCTTGAAAATATCGACTTTCGTGTTTGCTTGAACAAAACAAAAATACGAGACAATCGTTTTTTTTTGTTTTTTTTTTGTTTTGTTTTGTTATTTTCTTGTTCCTTTGAAAGAATTTTTTTTATTCTCTCGTTCATCGAGTTTCTTCTATCTCATTCGCTGATTTCATTCATCGATTTCTGTTTTTCTGTCGTTAAAAACGAAAACTGCAGTCATGCACCTTGCTGCATACTGTATACGTTCGGATGTAGGCAGATGCACAATATTGAACAAGCACAT